GCACTGCCAGGCAGCAGCGCGCACCGCACGCACTGCACGGCAGCACGCACTGCGCGCACACACCGTGCGACAGTGGCACCATGAGCCACGGGCACGCACCCGGCAGCAGCAGCATAGCGGGGCCCACACGACAGCTCATAGGGGTGGGCCCACCCTTATCTGGACACGTCAACTCGCCACCAGCTTAATCTTATCCCTTATCCCTTATCTTATTTTATCTTCTTAAGTAAGAGTTATGAGTTTAGTTTGAGTAGGAAATTAGGAGTTTTAGTTTGAGTTGGATTACTCTAGCCTAGCCGAATCCAACAAGGAATTCTCTTTTGTAATCTCCTATTTAAGGAGCTACGAATTGAAATAAAGCATTCAGTTTTCTAGTCAAGAAACGAGTGAGGAGAGTTTGGGTGGTCTCTTTGACAAATTACCCCAAGGGAGAGTTCGGGTGGTCTCTTGGACAAATCACCCACTAGATAGGCAAAATAGGGTCTGTGCGCAAGGCCAAAGGCAAGGGAAGATCAGGGGTTCCTGCCGTGGAACGACCTGTGACGCGATCCTACGTTCGGCCCCATAACATTTTGGTATCAGAGCCTACCGTCATGGGGAAACAGGAGCCGCTGTCTTCCAGGGTCCACGAGCTAGAGCATAAGCTCGCCGAAACCTGCTTGGAAGTTCGTGAGGTCAAGGATGATGTCCGGGAGCTGCGACGCCTTCTGGAAGCATTCCTCTCCAACAACGAAAGAAGCTCTGAGGGAACCGCCACTACCAACAGCCGTCGTCCGGACAGGGCGGAGACGTCCAACGAACAGCAAACCGCTGCCCCAACAGTCGCTGTTATTCCCAAGTACAGCCGGCTGGAATTTCCATCCTACAACGGCGCTGGAGACCCACTGGGATGGTTGCACCACTGCGAACAGTTCTTCCGCAACCAGCGCATCGATGACAAGGACAAGGTCAACTTGGTCGCGTTCCACCTGACCGAAGAAAAGCAGCTCTGGTTCTACCGAGTGGAGCAGGAGGAACCATGTCTTAGTTGGGGGCAGTTCAAGTCGTACTGCCTCCTTCGGGCCTCTTCAGTACCCCCACTAATAAACAACCCTTTGGGGGAACTCATTAATCTCAAGCAGACCGGTACCGTAGCAGAGTATCAGCGGTAGTTCCAGACCCTTCTTGCCAGGGCCTCTTCAGTACGCCCAGACCAGCAAGTGGATATGTTCACAACTGGTCTAGTCGAACCCCTGAGAGTTGATGTAGAGATGCAGAGCCCGCCTAACCTGGTCACGACAATGAATTTAGCCCGAGCCTTCGAGCACGAACTGCAGATTAGCCGAGGGCCGTTCAGCATGGGATGCCCAGCAGCGGCTTGGACAAACCCGAAGCCTACTGGAGGAGGGTCTTCGCTGGCAGCCAACAAAGAACCACTCGGAATGGCTCCATATCCAGCAGCCAGCCCAGAACGGAAGCCACAGACGAGCACCAATTCCAGATTAGCATCCAGTGTGGGGAGCAACAGCGGTACACCCCCTATCAAGCACTTGTCAAGGGCTGAGATGGCAGAACGCAGGGTGAGGGGGAAATGTTTTAATTGCGATGAACTCTACTCGGCAGGGCACATGTGCAAGAGACTTTTCTGCCTCCTGGTGAAACAAGAGGAAGATGAGGATGAACCCCCTCCATGGGAACCCGATTCAGGAGGGCAAAGCCACCCAGGATTCCTTTGAGGGTGTTTCGACGCCCAATTCGAGCTTGAGGACAAGCTCGTAGTCCGGGAGGGGTGTGATGTTATGGACACACCACCCGGCAGCGCAGTCATAGGC